CCTATGGTGGGGTACGGCTTCCCTGCCCTAATTTCATCAGGAGCTAGGGTTTCACTACGCACGCTTGTAGTTTCAAACATTCTACATTCGGGTAAGCAACCTGTCCTAGTTTGGAATGGTCTTTATGGCTTCGATATGCAACTAGGTCAAATGGTCAAAAAGGGTGCCTCAGTAAAACCGAGGTTTGTGTTCCCATCGTGGCAGAGCCCGTAACCAATCAGTCTTATGGCATGCTTTTCCAAGCAAGCCTCCGACAAACTGTTTAGGAATAACAGATGGCAAACACTGTGACTTAGGCGCATCAATGCAAATGCAATGTAAAGAAACACATAACTGTAAATAAAACAACATATCATGAGTTTGAGTCAAGTTCTCTAAGTCCCCAGCGGAGTCGCCAGAAACTGTAGATCGCCCGAACTCGCTCCACGCGCCCCCCTTTCGGAGAAGGCGCGAATTAGTTCTAGCTACTACAGTTCGAACTCTTGTCATTGTTCTGAATCTAATCTCGCAAAGTGCAATGCAAGACTGATAAATCACCAAACAGTCCAAATCCGGCAATTGGTTTTGAAAAATCAATTTTGAATCAAAAAACGCCAAACATGGATTGCTTTGCTAGATTACACAGTCGCCACCTAAATGTTTTGTTTTGGGAAAATTTAGGAAACCCTAACTCGTGCCAAACGCCACGTGTCCATCATCACCAAAGTTGCCTCGGCTCGACAACTTGGGTACGAGAGGGGAAGGTCCTAAAATGAGCACCCCCGCTCGCCCGATCAAAGGATCTGCCTCTACTAACAAGATATGTTGTTTTATAAACCTTATGTGTTCTTATTCCCGTTATTTAGCTAACTTACTACGTGATGTGCACAGCATACAAGTATAGACTCAATCACGAGAATTGGAACAAAGCAACTCATGTTTGTTTTTTGAAAATGGTTTGAAAGTGCTACTCGCAAGTAGGCTAAAGCGCGGATTTGCCACCCTCAAGTGGGCTTGAAAAAACATGATTTTGCCACTCCGCAAAGTCGGCTTAAAACTCACAATCATCGAGTTATCCCAATTCAGGCAATCAAGCCTTCACCCATAGGCATTCATGCAGTTAATCAAATAAGCAAATAGCCTCATGGCAAGCATGCTATCATGGCAATACTCACACTCATGCAAAGATGCTAAAGCCTAAACATTTACAGTGTACTCCGAGCCAAAACAAAAGCTAGTTAGAAAACAATGCATGATCCTAACTATATCAAAATGCCTAATGCAACACATGCAATAATGCAATTAAATAGGCTCGGCTATCTAAGATGGCATATGAATGCGACAATTGATACACGTATTCAAATAGGTATTGAAATACAATGCAGTTTGAATGATGCACCGAGCCCGATGCATGCACGATGAATGAATGATGCAAACATGCAAGTATAAGGTATGCTAATCAAAATGTGCCCTAATCTAACCACTGAAAGCGGATAAATAAAAGGGAGAAAGACGTGGGGTTGGAAGACATGCACACACACACGCACACTTATTACAACATTGTGCCCTCTCGAAGGAGGGTCCGAATGAATTAGCTAACTAGCTACGCTAATTAAACTAATTATTACAAACCAAATTGAATAATAAGCAATCTACTTACTAATTATTACATCACTTAACTAATTAAAAAATTAGCTAATTGAACTACAAACGCAAATGCTAACTAAACATGAAATGCATAAAACAATGCTGCTTTAGCTCTACTAGAAATTAGGGGATGCATGCCTCGGCTTCCGTCCTGAAAAGCTCTCCAAATGCTCTTTAGAGGCTCTGTCTGCAAGGTGTCCTTAAGAGCTTGCTGCTGAAACTTACCAGACCAAAGCTGGGGAGTGCACCAGTGCCTACCGGCCATGAATGGTGTCTGCCGACCCCCTTGCCGGCCAAGGACGCACACTGCCGGCCACGGATAAAAGGGTGCCGGCCACCAATGAGGGGGTGTCGGCCACTGGTGTGCTGTGCCACCAAGCTGCAACAGAGCACAAAATAGAGGAAAGGGAGGGTCTCCCAAGAACATGTATGTACTATCCCCCTCCATATCACCTCAAAACATCAAGGGAGAGGCATAATTGGATCCAAAACCATCAATCAAGCATCGCAATGCATGATGGCCAAAGATCCAATTTGTACAAACTCAATAAACGTAACGCAAACAAGACACTTAGACCATCTCCTTATCATGGGAGTCAAAGGCAATAGAGACCAAGGGAGATTGGCTCATTTCATCACTCCAAGTATGAAATGAACCAATCCACCTTGTGTTCAACATAACGTCAGGTTGAACACGATGCAATGCAAAATGCAACATGCTCATCTACCAATGTTAAGGTGGCATGCACAAGACTCTATCATGGAAGCAATGCATGCGAAACATGTTATGGGGCCAAGAGCACTAAAGCAAGTGAAGGACATTACACATGAGGCATGCACTATCAATCTTGAATGGTCAAACCAGCCATGGACAAACTTACATTATGCCTAAACTGTGGCAAAATCATGCTGGAATGAAGCACCAAAAGCTACAACAACATGTCCATACATTGGCTCACAAGCTAGGCATTAAACACAACTCTCAAACACAATCAAAGAGTGCTATGGATGAGAATATGGCAATGCTATATGCTTTGAAATCAAGTGTTAAATGATGCCAAATCATCCAAACATCACAAATAAGGCACGCTAGAGGGCTCAAAACTCAAGACTAGCTAAGGCACTTTCACCATAGCCATATCAAGCAAGCCCCGAAGGACCAAGATCACTCAAAAACGTCCTAAGGCAAGTAAAAACAATGCTAAGAACATGATGAAGTGTAGCCAAAACAAGCTAGAATGGTAAGCCAAAACACTAAGCATGCAAGGCCAAAGAGTGGGATTACACTACACATACCAAAACCAAGCAAGAGGCGACTCCACCAACGAAAATCAAAGTTGTAACATGGAAAAATAACACCAAAAATATGCTGAGATGGTATCCCAAAAGCTTAGGCACGCATGCATACAAGTTAGGCCATGATCAAGGCATAAAGCACAACTCTTCAAAAGCATTGAAAGAGTGAAGCATGAGAGAGT